TAACATGTTCTTCAGATCTTTATTGGATCCTTATAGTTAGATCTGGCATATTTAAAAGAGAAAATTGAAATGCTTACAAATTACTACGAAATTGAATGCTGACTGACATTGTTGTTATATTCCATAATTGCTGCTGATTAAAGTGGTAATTATGAAGTAGAATGTTTAATGGAGAAACTGCTTGTAGATTTTAATACCTCTGTTCTCTGGTAACAGTTACTGTTTATATGCTACCTGGTAATTTGAAATTGAGGGAATTTCCCCTTTAATACTGAAAGGAGCCAAATGATTTAACAGAAAACCTAATCCCACATAAGCCAAGATTCATTTAAACAAAAGTGCAGCTTTGTTTAACACACCATAGATGAAAATCTTCCACTTCTGTATTTTCTCAAAGGATATATCATTTGTAATACCTTTTTTTCATTGGGAAAAAAACCTCATAATTCTCACATCTAGAATAATGATATCAAATAATCAGCAGGGTCAAATAATAATTTCCATAATAAATTCTTAATAGGTTTCAAGAAAAAAAGACAAGCAACACCTATGATTGAAATATGCAGTGAAACCCCAGTTTTCTTAAGGATCTCTCTACAGCTGCTCTATATGTTTGATTTAAAAGTAAATGTTTTAACTTTAATCACACTGAGGTTGACACAGTTTATAATGTAATCCAAGTATTTTTTTATTTCATAATATTAAAGATTTAAACATATGTTTAGATTCAAATCCACAGTTAAACCCATTGTACTTTTTTCTCCTTAACCTTGAATTACAATTGTTTAGCCTCAACATCATGAGATTTTTCTATTTATTTAGTTATTATAAATACAGACATTGAAGCCACACTGTTAACAATTAGTAGATTAGAATAAACGTAATTGGGGATTTTAAATGTTTTAATTAAAAATAATATACCATAACTATAATCTATGATAGATTTGCAACATCGTCTACGAATCCTATTATTTAAAGTGCTGTTTCACTTTCACCTCCAAAAGAGAGATAATTAGGTAAAACAATGATGAGCACCGGTTGATTACTGAACATTTAATAATTCTCCACTGACCATGAAAGCTGTCTATTGTAACATATGATGCAGGAATTGAAATTGAATGAATCCAAGTTATTTGATATCTGAAACAAAGAAGAACATCTTCCCTTTCCTATTCCACATACAGAAGATGACACTAATAGATAATTCTGGCAATGGGGTCAAATCTTCTGCCACATCCGTGGGGACTGAGATCCAGATGGTTCCCACCCTGTTGGCTTTCCAGAGGGCTATAAAGACCTGGCTATTCTCACAGGCCTTGGGCTAAGGTGGCTGGAGCCCCCTTCACTGGATGTTAGATGTTAGGTGGGATCTTCTGAGTGTCTGCTGGGTTCATCACCATGTCCCCCCCCTTTTTTTTTTTTCTCCTAATTTGATTTTGTTGTTAGTTGTTGGGTTTTTGTTTTTGTTTTTTTGGTGTATTGTGAGCCACCCAAAGATTCGGAGTTAGGCAACATCAAATCTTAATTAGTTAGTTAATTAATTAATTAATTAATTGCATGCATACTGTGTGGTATAGAGCAGCTCATGTGGCATACATAGCTCTGTTCACTAGTGTCTTGCTAGATATCCCTGGCATTTGCTGCTTCATTCTGCCTAATAGCTTGTTCTGTGTTGTTCAAATTTTCATCTTTCAGTGACCGTTCATTAAATAAAATAACATTTAAAAAATGACTTCAAGGAAGGTTGGAACTAGAATATTAGATACTGAATGGAATTAGAATCTTTTCCCTGATCATTCTAGAGTTTGCTTCTTGTTTGTGTTTGTATTTGGTAGAAATTATGGCGAACTTCCTGATTTAGACTTAGCTATGAATTTTGCAAGTAAGTCTCACAGAAAAGATTACAGATACAGGATATACTAGCTTTTCTCTCTGTAATTCCCAACTTCGTTTGCCCTTCCTAATTCTTTTAAAATTCAATCTACCTAGTTGACCAGATGGTTATAGGAAGCATATGCTGTGAGAGGGAAAGGAAGGGTAGTAAAGAAGCTGAATGTCCATAAAACCATATTTGATATAAAATATGTATTCTGCTGAGGACAACTGGGGAGAAAATAATTCAAAACAAGCCTATTTATCCATTTCATGAAAATCTCCCAGATCATTTCTATGTCAACTTTATATGGGGAGAAGCACATGTTTTGCATTTTCAAAAAAGGTATCCATCCACCTGTTCCTTACACTGTTTAACTGTATAATTCTATTTCACATGCCAATCCTAGCGACTCTACACAGTCTAATAAACATAGGACCACCATGCCAGAAATAATAAAACTGGTCAAAACATAGTCCTTTAGATAGGATATCCCGCACCATTGTTAAGTGTGACCAGCTTCCCAGTTGACTTTGCTTGTAGGAAGCCAGGAAAGAAGGTCACAAATTGCAATCACGTGACCGCAGGACACTGTGACAGCCAGCAGTTTGAGGACTGGTTGTAAGTAGTACTCGTTCAGCACCATCGCAAGTTCGAACGGTCTCTGAACAAGCGCTCATTAAACAAGGATCGCCTGTATTCCCGTTCAAGGTAAACAATGCTAGACAGTGCTTAGGAACCTGTTGGACCAAAGTAATATAAAAGTCTTACAAATAAGTAAATAAATATGTTTTTTCAAAAGCATCTGTTTTACCAGGGAAAGAAGATACATTGTTACTTTAACTTGGTAACCTACGTTTATTCATTTTTCTAAAAGAGTTATAGACACCTTTAAAAGTGAAACGCTTATCCAGGTGCCCTCTAAAAATGAAATGCAAATACCAGTCAATTAAAAAAATGAAAGAGAGCAAAACACAACAACAATCAACCCCATCATCCAAAAACTTCCAAGACATTATTTCCTACTTTTCTGTACCGCTGTGTTTTAAAGAAACATTCTCAGTTCCATGCAGTAAATTAGGAGATACTAGAAGGTATATATCTGGATGCAGATCTGAATTATAGTGCTCTTAATGGGATATGCATTAATGTACTTTCCAGTATGCATTCTGGCATAACTAACAGTTAGATCATAACTTTCAAATCAGGGCATTGGCTCAGAAATACCATCACGGAGCCAAATCTGGGAGGCTCGCAAGCATCATTTCTCCCTTCCATAATTACTAATTGTGGTCATGAGAGCAAAAGAAGCCATATTCAAATTTTAAAATGTTACTGAAGAGGCAGTAGATCAGCATGAACAAGCTCAACAGTGGAAGAGTTCTGTGCACGGTTTTGGCATTTCTCAAATATCTTAGAGGGTCAGAATTCAGCGTTGTTGGATCTAGTGTACGGTCACATGAAAATGTAAATTGTCTCTTCCTTCATATGCCTTTGCGGGAGCCTTTTGCGATAATTCATTTTGTGGAATGAATACACAGCCTCAGTAAGCTCTGACTTAGCATTTACATCTTAAATAATGCTGCCTCCGTTATATCAGATGCTGCATATTCATTTTATGTTTTCACTAAGCAGTTAAAGTAAATGGTTGTATGGATTAGTGCAGCTAGAGCGAGTCAGCTTCCGATGTGTTATTGAAATATTGCTTGCCTGAGCAATTTGCAGTCAGAGGGCAAGAATAATTCTAATGAGGTCAATTAGCATTTGGAGTTCTTTTTAGTAGCTTTAATTAAGCACAACCTTACAGCAAGGACATGTGTAATTTTCCCTCCCCTGTCTCTTTGTTAATATGATCCCCAGGAAAACGACCAGAGTGAGGTTTTTTTCTTTTTCAGTTGTTTTATAAAAGATGCATCTCCTGCTCTCTGAAACAAAGAGCATAACAAAAGACCAAAACAGCATTTTCCTGTGAGCCCACACATTTACAAAAAAGGCAGAAGGAGGGTCAGGAGACCATGGCATCAAACTGACATATGCAAAACCATATTAATGTCAATTCAAGTTGATGCATTTTCAGTCTTGTCTCTTTTCTTAAACTCTTGAAGATATTTGGTCTAAGGCCCTGCTTTGGAAAGGAGGTGTATTGTGTGTTCAGCTCTCTGTGTGTGTATATATATATGTGTGTGTGTGTACATTTATGTACTTCTATATTTCTTTTTTTTTTATTTTTTTTTTATGCTCCATTTTGCTTCCAGATATTTTCACAGAATAAATGGGGGGGGGGGAGGAACCCTGCCAAGACTTTAACAAATTGATTTAATCATCAGTTCCACCAAAAGGCCACGGGAAGAACCATCTAGTTGGAAGGAAGCACTTGGGAGATCAAATTCAACCCCATGTTCCAAATCCAAGCATCCCCAAGAGATGGCTGTCTGGCCTCTATCTCAGTATATCCCGTGAAGGACCTCTTATGTGAGAGGTTGTGGCAAGGCTGGGATGGGAATGGAAGAGATAGCAGCAGGCAAGTCAGTGGACAGTTTATCTCATAAATAAATAGCTTTGCTGGTCTTTAATTGTAATAAAGATTTGATCTAATTTGATAAATCATAACACAGTCTAGGTGGGAAGAAATCTGGGAAAAAGCATCTCAATATCTTAAAAAAGGCTCCACCTTCATTAACTCACTATAAACGAGACTGGAAAATTCCTGTTATTTTCCAAGACAAGCATTAAAGATAATTTACTAAAATCTGTCTGATTTTTGCTCCTTTGGCCCTGCCCAGCTACATGGGGCTTGAGAACCTCTCATCTTTTGAATAGTTTATTCCACTATCAAACTGCAATTTTTTCAACAACAGGCTTGTAGATAGGTTGTGCAGAATGATGGTGACTGGCCCAAAGAGACCCTGTGAAGTTCCATGGCTGAAAGTCCTAGTCCAAACCCTTAAATACCTAGTCTATTTTTTCTCACCTACGCATTTTTATAGATGGAATTAATATTGTAGTTTGCAATTAAATCTGCCCAAATTGTTTGATGCCAACTGCAATACTTCATATTGTTTTTATATTTGTGCAAAGAACCAATGAATATTCTTAACCGTTTTATCAAATATGAACTGATTTTCAGATACCTGGAAGGAAACCATTTATCTGCTGTGCCAAAGGAACTTTCTGTGTTCCGACACTTAACATTAATGTAAGTATACCAACATTTCCTATCAGCAGCAGTACTATAACACAAAAATGTTGAGGCATTGGGTGTTGCAGTGCAGTTTGAGGGAATGTGGAAACATTGTTTATATTGTGAGATTTATTTTTTTCTGGAAATACAAATACACACACATACAAACATATCCTTTTAAAAGAGATCATCAGTAAATTATCACTTTGAGATCTTTGATTACAATTCAATGTTTCAGCCCAGTCCTCTATTTATTACACACAAGTAAGAGCAAGACATAACACCTCAATTTTCACACAAACAATCATTGGCAGATTTTGCTTACTTTTAGAGTTCAATGTTGTGATTCATTCATTCATTCATTCATTCATTCATTCATTCATTCATTCATTCATATATATATAGTTTGTTTAGTCATACCTTTATCGGGTATATCTTAAATTCCAATCTAGACTTAAATTTTATAAAAATAAGAAAATTCCTTAAAATATTTCATTAATTTCATCAAGCATAGGATTTTAATACTAAGGTATCACTCTCATTAATTAAAAAATGTTTCATATGATGGTATTTTATTATTTTATAGCTGGAAGACTACCCTACCTAGCCCAAGTCAGTGTGCCAGCTTTAATATAGAAATACCTTCATGTATTTAGTTTTCAGTTCTAGGGGATCATCGTATGTGAAGGAGCATATGTTTTTCACAATAGTTCTTCTTGTGTCTTGATATAATCAAGATACAAGGAGGAATATATTACAAACTTAATTGATAGAAGTCTACAGCAACTACAAGGAGCTTGTACAATGTGACGCAATATTGTCTACCTACAAGCAGAAATAACATCTCAAATGTTTAGTGCCTTCCCTGGAGAACCTTGTGAAGTGTCCACTCTACATAATTCTTACTTTTGTCCACTGTTATTTCTGGTTTTATGCCTTGGTATTTTTCGATTGTCAAATGGTTGGTGTTTATTGTATTTTAAACTCCCCTTTTATTTTTTTCTTAAATGAATCTTTCAGATTTTATTTGTGTTTTTTTATGAATTATCCTGAAAGCTACTTGCCTTAGGGTAATTAATAAATCTATAATTACAATCCCAGAGAATCGTCTTAGTTGGTAGTTTGCTTTGAAGGAACTTGCTTTTGCTTTTCAGTTTTGTCCTAAATTTGAAAAAAGTTCTGTTTTCATTGCATCAATTAATTTTGTTTTGTGTATTTTTCTTCAGTGACTTGAGCAACAACAGCATCAGCATGTTGGCCAATTACACCTTCAGTAATATGACACAGCTATCAACACTGTGAGTACCCAGTGATTCTGACATAAGCTCCAATTGCTATTTATTATAAAGTTGGTTCCATTAAGTAGCAAGTATTCCATTTTTCTGTGTTAATGTATTCTACTCCATTCCTGCTTCAATTACTTAGTACAAAGTAATATAAGCTGTGGTCTTCTATTCCCCTAGGATCCTAAGCTACAATAGGCTACGGTGTATTCCAGTTCATGCATTTAATGGCCTTAAATCTCTCCGAGTGTTGTAAGTATTGCTCATTCACTGTTCTGGGGTTAAATCTTAACAGGTGACAGCAAAATTTCTAAGGAGTAGGTGCTTTCCTCTGATTCTCTGTATCACAACCATTTCTAGACATTAGCACTTTTCCATTTGTATTAAGATGTAAAATAGCCTATAAGTATGTGTTCAGATGAAGATCAACATTTTGTGAGTGATTTGATGCCTAAAGATGATTTTTCATTTTGGAGTTGTTGTTTTTTTTTAAATAATAATAATAGGCTGCTGTTAAAAAATAGGCTTCCCCATTTGACTAAGACATATTTTTGAAGGAAGCTTTCTTGATCTGAACTTGCTCACTAAACACACTGACATACTCTTGGATTTGATGGATCATTCCATAATTTGAGCTAAATTTTTTCTTTAATATGTTTTTATTAAAAGTTTTACAAAGCATGTAAAGACTAACACAAACTAATAAAGAGCAGAAACAGTAAAGAAGAAAGAAGAGAGAGAAAAAGAAAAAGTACAGAAAAAATAAAAAAATAAAAAATAGAAAGACGCTTTCAATTTCTTTTGCAGAAAATATAAGTACAATTGCAAAATTATCTTACTCTATGATTACAAAAAAAGCTCACTTTTTTCTATTATTCATTTTTTTCTAATTAGCAAAACCACAAATCATAAGCACATTTTTTCTGTTTCATGCAAAAGGTCTATAATTTGAGCTAAAATTCTAATTGAGATTCTATTATTGCATGTTTTTAATCATATCCAAGAATTCAGGAGAAGTTTGATCTTTTCCATTCCTTTTTATACTTTTCCCATTTATGAACATTTGTTCTTTTATAATCAAATGTGACTATAGGAGACATTTTGCCAAATGTTTCCTTCTGAGCATATTGAATGTAATGATATTTGATAATTCTTTCCAGTGATTCAGTAATACTTACTTTTTGTGCAAAATTGTAAGCATTACTTAGGATTAAATCCATGGTTGCTTCATCACTGTATCTCCTTGATTAGCCCTTTAAGGATGTGGCATATGGTTTTTAGTGGCCTGTTATGGCTGCAGTTATACTGACATGGGTCAGCAAATGGAGAGAGAAGAGAGATAAGAAGTACAGTTCTAGCCCTGAAGTGCAGCTGTGGTGTCACAAGGGCTGATGAGTTGACCTGTTGTACTGGTATGTAGGAATGACCTTGGGAGATGGGTGGGGGAGTGGACCAGAAGAGATGCTCCCTAGGGAATGATCGGATAAGAGGGGGCATAGCCCACAGCTGCATAACAGAAAGAGAAAGAAACTGGGAAAGGAACCTCCCTAACTTATCAGGCTGTAAAAGAGGCAGCAGGAGATTTGTACTTTCAGACTTACAAGATCGTTAAAGTACCCTTACAATAAAGTAGAATTAGCTCATCTAGTCGTGTTTCCTGTCTGGTCTACCTGGGAAGGCTGACACCTGGCTGCTAGCCAGGGCTGTTTTGGGGAGAGGTAGACAGCATTTCCATTGGTCCAGCCTTGTATATTGGTGTTGGGGACTAAAACCTTCACAGGACACCCACCTCCTCAGTTCTGGGAGACATGCTGCCAGTCTGACTAAAAATAAAAGAGAGACAGAGAGAGGAGAGGAGAGGAGCAGAGAGGAGAGAGAATCAGGGCAAAAAGCTAGGAGAGAAAAAGACTGTGTAAAATGGAATGGCTGGATAGAAAAGTTGGAGAGTACAGTATTGTGAGTGTGTGGCACAAATGTTAGTTCCTGGTCAGAGAAGGAAAAGAAAAGTCCATGGATAGGTTCCCTTGAGGAAGATAAGTCAAGTCCCAGAGAGATGACATCTTCACCCAAGACCCAAGATGGGAAGGAGGGTGTTGGCTGTCTATGGCAAAACCCAGGTATTCAGGGAAGGATTGGGCAGAAGACCCCAAGAGAGGTTCCTCCCCCAATACAGAGATGTAGATGGTGATCAGTTGAGCAAATCCAAGAAAAGTAAATGACCAGTGCTAAGCACACTCAATTGTAAATCCAGCACATTCCTTTCCTTTTACTCTCTCTTGATAAGCCCAGAAGGGAGTGAAGGGGGAAGGCCAGGACAGCTTGTCATAACTGACGGAACTATAAATTCTGAACTATGCCACCAAATCCTAAAGGAAAATGTCAGGGTATATTGTATGCCTGTGAACTGAAGCTCAAGAGAAAGGAGGTCATGCAGCAAGACAACAACCCAAAACACACAAGTCATACGAACAAAGAATGGTTAAAGCAGAAGAAGGTTAATATTTTGGAATGGCCAAGTCAAAATCCTGACCTTGTTATGTTATGGAAGGACCTGAAGTAGGCAGTTCATTCAAGGAAGTCCACCAACATCCCTAAGTTGAAGCTGTTCTGTAAGGAGGAATGAGCTAAAATTCCTCCAAGCTGATGTGCAAGACTGATCAACAGTTACCAGGAAAGTTTAGTTGCAGTTATTGCTGCCCAACTAAACTGAAACATTTTGTTGCAGTTACTGCTCCACATCAGTTACTGAAAGGAAAAGTTCACATATTTTATCACACACAAATATGTAGCTTTGGAACATTTTCCTCAATAAATAAATGAACAAGTATAATGTTTTTGACTCATTTGTTTTATTGGGTTCTCTTTATTTAGTTTTAGGACTTATGGGGGGAACAAGTTTTAGGTCATATTTATGCAGAAATACTGAAAGTTCAAATGGTTAATAAACCTTTAAGCACCACTGTATGCATAATTATAGATATATATTATATGGAGTATTTAGAAAAGAGTAGTTAAGTGGCAGGCCAATTTGTTTGTAGCTGAACATAGTCCATAATCTTCCAGTTGATTATACAATTTGAAATAATGCACAGATGTTAATTTCACAGTAAATTTTACCCCATCGTTTGAGAACTACTAGGAAGCATTCATTTTCTTATTTAGTGACCGATCAGTATGAATTTTTTGTTTAAGTTGCAAGCAAACCAAAATTACTTATATTTCCAAGGGCATCAATGCAATGCTAAAGATCAATTTTATAAATCCATTTGCTAGCTCTGTTTATTTAGATGATCTACTTAATCGTATATTGGAATAGGTGGTTTGCTCTGAGAAAAATAACATGGCATTTCTATTTCTGTGCAAAAGTGAAATGAAGCATGAATGAGAGTCTCTCTTTCTGGGTTCTGTGTATTTGGAAGCCTCCAGTTTCATTTGATTTATTATGGTCTACAAAACTCTAGTGTCAGCGACAACCCTTGCCACATGTCATCTACGTTGTTATTAAAAATCAATTCTCCTGGGGGAGGAAGTGGTTCCAAGCGACAGCATGCAATCTGTTACTGTCATTTATTTATTATCAGAATTCCCAAGAGACCTCAGTTAGAAATAATCAGCAAAAGCATATCCAAGTTTTTGGATTTCTTTTTTGAAAGGACGCATAGCTTGAAATCTGGCTAGGTTTGATGTGCAGTTAACAGATCTCTTTTACGCATGAGCCACTTCTCTAATTGCTTTTTTTTCCTGGGAAACTTGCCTTATTGATATTAAATAGGAAAATTATCTTATCAGTCAGAATGTGTCTCTGGATACCAAACTTAATAATAAGAGTCATAACATATGCCTTGTTTCAGTAGCTCAAAGTCTTAATTTCTCTTATCATATCTTCATACCTCGTGTTTGAAGCTGATCTTTCAAAGCATAGATTAGGTTTTGTCAAGCACGCACCAAAAGGTATGCGAATAACAAAAAACTATCAGAAAACACATGTGAAATATACATAATTATAAAAAATATTAAAATTACTTCTATGTCCCTATTAAATACATACTCATGATTCAGTGTGTGAAGTTATCTTGCAGATTAACTTTTGATTCCCTTTCTATATGGAAGTGGTTCAAGTGGCCTTCCCAAGTTTTTCAAGGATTTTACTATTTACTTTAGGATTTCATAAAACTTTCAAAGCACACTTCAGCACGCTACACTAAGAAAGTGTAGAGTTTGCTTCCGTTCTTTGATTTTGACTTGCTCATGTCATATTGTAAAATAGGCAATTGTAAAATATTTCAGATTCAAAGAGTTCCAAATTGGAAACCCCTTGCTTTGAATTCAGAATAGCTGTTTCAGTTTCAAAACTGGGTGATTTCATCAAAATGGTTAAAACAGCTAATTTCAATTGTATACCAGCTGCTTTGAAATTAAAATAGGGCATTTTGCATTCAACACCATTCTAATTTGAAACATTTGGCCTGCCACTGGCCTTACCCATTTATTATGTAATCCCAACTAAGTTAATTGCATTTAGTTCCATTGAAGTCAGTACAGTATATCAATATATTGCTATTAATGTCAATAGGACTGTAGTTCAACAATTAGGAAGTTAATACAGTATTAGTAAGAAAGTTACTATTCTATTGTTTATGATGTTCTAAGCCCTCAGGAACCATTTATGTTGAATCCAGCAGTATATGCAGACACAAGAAATAAAAATATTAAAAATTAATCTCCTCTAGAGATCCAAAGTCATGTAAGCATGCAAGAAAGGATATGGTTGAAAAGCAATGAAGCATTGCAATTTTCACTGTAACTTTTCTTAGTGACATTTAAAGATATTAAAGCCAGGATTTGCACTGACTATTGGTTAGGGCAAGTTCCATTCAGCATGATGATAAAAACTGTATGGAAATTCTGGAAAATATAGTTCCAATAAATTTGGTAACGGCAGCTCTACGCAGCACTGTATTTATCAGAAAGAGTTGTAGATATTGGCAAAATGGTGTCACCAATGATTTTCTCTATGACATTTGTTTCAGGGAAAAAAAGAAGAAAAGAAAACAAAAAAGATGAATATTTCCTACTTATCTAGATCCAAGGACTGAATAACTTTCCAGAATATTATCACTATTATGACTCCCAAGACAACTGTTCTCTTGTTGTCTAACTATTTATTTATTTA